ATATTTTTGGAGTCCCATGATAGCCTCTTGGATTTATTCAGCTCTCAATTCTCCAGCTACCTGTTTACTGGAAAAGAGTTGTGATTATTGTAGTTTATTTATCGTCATACGAATCATCACTGGGTTTTGGTTAAAAACCAAAAAAAAAAAAACAAAAAAAGAATCATCACTGGGTGTTTTGGTGCCCTTCATTTGGGATATGTGCTATGCATATTCCATTGATGATTAACTCCCTTCATCTGGATAGCGTCTGCGTTAATGTTGACCTAGTAAAAAACAGTGGGCTTCTAATAAGTGATTGGTCTTTAAAAACAATGAGCCCTAATTGTGTTTTGAAGTGATTGGTCTTTTGTTTTCGTTTTTCCCCTTGCATTACGTAGCATCCAATTAGTAGCTGAAAAATTTGGGGTCAGATCCGGGAGAATTTCAATGTGTTTAAGTTAAACATGGGATAGGAGCAGCGTAACTATTTTCTTGAGTTGATGTTGACTTTTGTTTGCAGTGCAAGTTTCCAAGTTGGAATTTTAATTAGGAAAGAAACTTTATTTTCACTTTTAAAGGTAGTGAAATGATTGAAACTTCTTTCGACTTTTAATGCCTATTGAAATGAACTATTTTATTCCTAACTAAATGAACTGGGAAGCGAAAGAATGAAATTTTTTATCATTTAATATTTTGATTTATCTTTTGAAAATTTCTGTTTGACTTGTACCCACGGAACAGTCTTTCTCTTGTGCAATGCTGAAAGCTATTTGTTTGGTAACTGATTATCTTTTCACCTTGATAGTTTTTATCTGAACCTATTGATTGGATAACTTCTCTGATATCGTTTGCACGTTTATGGGTTCATGCTAAAATCTCGCCAATTTGTGGCTTGGGATGTTGCTTTGCTTTACTACGATGCATACTAGTATATTTTAACGTTTAAGTTTTCATCAAAATATCTTGATGTTAATGGTTACATTTTCCCTCTGTTTGTGGATTTTATTGCTCAGTGTTTTGCTTCTTTTAATTAGAGTTATAATGGGTAGTTGGCAAATATATCCATTGTTTAATGGTTCGTGCATCAAATTCATCTTCGTTTTCTACTTGCCTGGGAAGTAGCCTTGTTGGTGGTTTGACATTTATGTATTTACAATGTGTTATGACTGTTATAGCTTAGAAAGGCAGAGGTCAGGTAATTAGGATGCATGTTGAAAGCATATCCTTTTTCATTCCGACATTTGTAAAAATAATGCAAGTCTGAATTAAGAACCATAATGGTGACTTAGTTAATTGTGACATTTTTTTTTTGTTGAGCTATAATTCTTATTGAACTATGGCGTTATGATAAAGAGCTGAAGTTATTAAGTTATCCTTATGAACTGTAGTATTAAAGCGTGAATAATTCCCCATTCAATTGGACATTAAGTTGTGTAATCATACATTTGGAATGTCTCAAATCATTGTAAACTGATTATAGATAGCTATCTCCATTTTACACATTTGGAATGTCTCAAACCAGTGCTTATGTTTATGAATCATTTACAATTATGGATAGTGTTAAGGATGTTGCAACCTGAATATTCAAAAAGATATGCTACGACTATATATTAACAAGTATGTTAACCTCAAAATGAAAGGTTTTTTTGTATCCCTAATATACATATGCAGATTGTGTTTGCTGTTGGCCAAAAAATAAGTCTAGCTTCTAGTTCTACCTTATTAATTAGCCATGTGGTTATAATTTTCATTTATCTATTTTCCTGGCAAGGTGGGTTGATATGATGCTTTGAAGTCATTTTGTATTTGTTCTCTACCTGTCTTAGTTGGTTTTACTTGTTTATGGTTGCTTTTGTGGACATAAATACTTCAATGAGCGGTTTTAAATTTCTAGGTCAAATGGAAGCTAATGAAAAACTTGACCCAAATTTCTTGTTTTGCAGATAAGTTGATTTAAGATGCTTCAACACCAAATTGTGCAATCCCCAGCACGACTAGGCCTCACAAATCCTAATTCACCCTCCATTCAAAACCCTACACCTCCCAAGCTTCATCCATCTCAATCCCATCACCCTCAACCCCACCATCAACTCACTTCCAATGCTCCTTCCCCTGCACTCCTCTCTCTTCTCCCTCCTCTCCCTAGAGCTCAAGCTCTTCTTCTCCAAATGGCTTCTTTGGCTTCTAAGCTCTTTGAAGTATCTCCCAATAGATCCCTTTGGGTCACTGCCTTCTGTGGATCCCTCCCCACTTTCCTTTCTTCACAAACCCAACCACAGTCTTCTACCTCTTTAGAGTCTTCTCCTTCCTCCACCAAGGAAATTCTTTCACTTTTCACATCTCTTCAAACCCAAATCTTTGAAGCTGTTGCAGAGCTCCAAGAAATTCTTGATCTGCAAGATGTTAAGCAGAAGGTTGCTCAAGAAATTCGCACCAAAGATGCAGGGATGCTTGCATTTGCCAACAAACTCAAAGATGCTGAGCGAGTTCTTGACATTCTTGTTGATGATTATTCTGATTATCGCCGGCCTAAGCGATTGAAATCAGGAGAGAGCAATGAGGATGATTCTTTAAACTCAACAACTGTCTCATCTCACCTTAAGCTATCTGATATACTATCTGTAATACAAATTTCAGAATGGATCGAAAACATACCGGGTCGGATCTCGGGTCGGGTCGGTCGGATCTTCTTAGCTCACGCTTAAGCTAGACTATAAAAGTCTGAGCTTTTAAGTGCACAGCAGAGCACCTCTTTTGCAAGAAAGAAAATAAGAGAGAGAGAGAGAGATAGTAGGAAAGCTCTACTACTGGAGTGATTTGAACTGATGGGGGAAGCCTCTATTTATAGCTTTTGTCAGGGATATTTTGGGTAGCATAAAAATATCCACTGAGCCCATCAGATAAAATCCGAGATAAGATATAATATATTCTTATCTCATAATATCATGATATTTGAATTTAAATCAATCACAATTAATTCTAAATATATATACTTAATATATATTTAATCTACACTTAATATAATTAATTAATTTAAATTTAATTAAATTAATTAGATTTATATCGTAACCGATTGGATATGATTCAAGGTGTTTGACCAAGTCAAACATATCACAATATCGCTTGGATATTTGACTGATATATTCTCTTTATACCCGGTCAAATAATCCGGCCCATCAAGGGCGGATCCAAGCCCAAAAATCTAACACTATCCTATGCCCATAAGATAAGTTACACAACTTTTGCGTCACCAGAATTTGGAGCTGGGCAAGCTCCTCTTCGTGGTGCACTTCCCCCTGCACCTCAAGAGGAGCAAATGCGAGCATCACAGTTGTATAATTTTGCTGACCTTGATGTTGGATTGCCTAAAGTGGTTGAAACTAAGGAGAAAACGATTGAGCCTATCATTGAGTCTCCACCTCCTCAGCCTGTGGAAACAAATCCATTTGCCAGTTTGTCTGCAATTCAAGGATTGCTTCCTCCAAATTTTACTGTTCCAACTAGTTGGAAGCCTGGAATGCCTGTGGAATTGCCTGTTGATTTGCCAATTAAGCCCCCCGCCTGGCTGGAAACCCGGGGATCCTGTGCCATTGCCACCAATGGACTCCCTTAATGTACTAGCGTCCAATGAATAGCAAGTACGCCCACATGTTCCTCTACACAAGCCCCCTGAAGTTATTCAGGTGCAGCCTGTGAATTTGGATCTGGGAGGGAGTGATAGTAGTGATTATAGCAGTGATGAAGGTAGCTCTGATGATGAAGATTGACAAGCATAGGAGGATGATAGTTTTTCAAGGGACTAATTGAATTATTCAACTATTTTCCTGACTGAACGAGTCCCCAGCTTATCATTTCCCTTGAGATTTCAAATAGGCATTGCAACTAAGTTCATGTCACGTGTCCGATTGATTGTAAATGATCCTTAATGTCTACCAAAGCTGGTAATTCTTGGACGCTTGGTCATATGTGTTGCTGCTACATAGTTGTTTCATGTCATGTATAGATATTCTAGAATTGCAATTAATATTCCTTTGTGGAGGGAAGCATCTATAAGTTTTCTCAGTCATGTTTTGTTTGGCACGCACTGTTTTCTGGTAATTAGTGCCTGCTTCAGTTTACCAGTTATTGTTAGAGTCATGTAAGTTATGGAAAAGTTTGAAAGAATTTTTAGGAGCTTAGTGCTGGGAAACAAGTGCATATTCGCTAAATATATACACACAGTCATCAAAATGGACGTGTTTTCCTTCACAATATACATCCATGAAAATTTCCATCAAAATTGGTGTTTGCTTCAGTTTGGCCGCTGATATCCACATGTTCACTAGAATTCTTGGAAGTCTCTGGTGGGATTCAGTTGCCCAGAGGAACACAAAGCAGCACAAAAATAGTGGAGATTTCACTTGAATAAACGTTGAGATCTTGGAGCCATTGTTGTTCATGAATGTTAGAAAATATATGCACAAGTTAATGAGGATAATTTTGACCCGTTTATTTAATTGCATTTTTTTTTTTCAAGACGTGTGTTTGTACACTAAAGCTGCTATAATAGGAAAAGACTGTAGAATCAGCAGACATCCATACATCCATTTTGTGTTCATAGTCCCAAACGTAATGAATGAGAAGATGAAATTTTTTAATTTTGTTGGGATAGATTAAGTTTTTGTTTTCCTGTGATAAATAATACTATGAGGAAATTAAAAAGAAAATTTTTTTTTTTAGGAAAATGATAAAAATATTATTAATGTGTTATGCTGTTTCGTTGAAGGTTTTTTAAGGGAAGGTGGGTGTGTTGCGTGAGATCAACCGGCTGACACATACAGATTTATTGCTTAGTCAGCAACTTTAGGGATTCAGAGGAAAATTTGAGTAGTAGGAAGACTAAATGGGGAGTAATTTTCTAAACTTCGAAAAGTCATGGGACGAGAATTAACATTCAAGCAAACTATGGGGCCTATTGATAATTTTCTCAAAAGCAAGCATTCAAACGCCGCCGTTAAACTGGGAGAGGCTCTTCTGTCAACTTCTGCACACCTCGGCGTCTGCAGTCCTCGCGAGTTCTTCGCTTGCCCTTTCCAACGCCCCTCGTCGCCGAGTGCTCTTCGCAGTTCACAGTTCTCTCAATCTCGAGAGCGGCTTCCGCGGTAAAAGGTTTATGTTTGTCCCTCTTTCCTACAATCTGTTCGAAGTACTATTTGCAACTTCTGAATTTTTTTTCCCGTTTCGTTTCTGTAGTTGGGGGATCCATGGCCTCTAAAATGGAAATCGAGAATTCTACCGATGCTCCGTCATTGTAAGCACGAGTTCCCTTTTGTTTCTACTTCTTTTGGAATTCATTTTATATAATTGCAACTGTGCTTTTGTGTGCTTCCTCCTGGATGTACCCCATTTAGTGAACGGATGGATAATCTGGGCTTTTTTGGTTCAAAACATGGAAAATAATAGATTATCATATATGATATTTGCAAATTTGGCTTCGATGGATTTCTGGGTTGCACTAAAATGACTATTTGTGGTTATTGCGTTCCCTTCAGGCCAAAGAATGTATACAAAGATCCAGATGATGGACGGCAGCGATTTTTGCTTGAGCTGGAATTTGTTCAATGCCTTGCTAATCCCACCTACATTCACTGTATGTCCCCCCCCCCCCTTTTACATTGCTTTAAATGTTTTGGGAATTTAGGGATCAAGTTAGGGGCATCTTTGGAATTTGTTCAATGCCTTGCTAATCCCATGGTTTTCAATAGTCCATTGAAATGAGAATGGAGCAAAGGAGGATTTTATTGGAAAATGAAATTTAGACTCTTGTTTTCTTATGGTTTGAAATAAAGTGTAAATTGTAAAATGTGTTGATTATGATTTTATGGGCCCTTAGATTCAGAAGCTAATTGTTTTGGTAGGCCTGAGAATTTCTTCTTAGTGTTTGATTCTTTATCCATCATTTAACAGATTTGGCTCAGAATCGATATTTTGAAGATGAAGCATTCATTGGATACTTGAAGTACCTTCAATACTGGCAACGGCCTGAGTACCTCAAGTTTATTATGTAAGCAATATCATGAAATTGTCACACTGAAACACAGAGACGTATTGATCCTTAAACCACCTTTGACTTACACTGATTCCTTTTCAACAATCTGGTCTCAGGACTAAGAGTTAGAGGTTCTTGTATTCATTTCCGACCCACTTTGTTTTAGTAATATATATTTCAATCTTGAAGGGATTGTTTTGCTAATCCAGTGACTTATTTTTTTCTGAATGTTAGGTATCCTCATTGCCTTTTCTTCCTAGAACTTCTTCAGAATGCAAATTTCCGAAATGCAATGGCGCATCCTGGAAATAAGGTATCTAGTAACAACTCTATTCCTGATTTTTTTTTTGGAAAAAAACCATCTAGTTTCTTCCGTCAAAGATACATGCGGCTGTATCCATTCCTGTTGGGATCAATTCACTTGGGCTGTTGGGTCAAGAATTTGGAGATTTTCACCCTTAAGTTCTGATCTAATAACGTGATAGAAAGATAAATGGTTATATGTTACCGGTTTTACATTACCTATCTTAATTCACAATCACATGATCAGTATGATTAGCGCATTCTAGGAAACTTGAATGAGTTAAATTTGAAAACAGCTGACTCGGTTATCTCTGTAGGATTATAGAATTTGTCTTCTTCTTCCTTTAGGGATTGTCGATATCACATTTGTTTTCATTGGTCCTTTAGGAACTTGCGCATAGACAACAATTTTATTTCTGGAAGAACTATCGGAACAATAGGTTGAAGCACATTTTACCAAGGTCACTTCCTGAATCTAGTGTCACAGCCGCACCTCATGCGGCTGCCTCAACTCCGTCTCAGCCACCAGTGCCTGCTTTGCCACCCGTGCCAGCTGCTAATGTTCCGGTGGCTGTATCATCTGCTCAGGCTCTTTCTCCAATGCCATATGGTGTGCCGCCTGGATCTGCCCTTGCAAAAAATGATATGAGGAATCCTGCACTTGATAGGAGGAAGAGAAAGTAAAACATTTGTTTCCTTAAATTATTTTCTTCCTTTGAGGGAGCATAAATACGCTTTTAGTGCTTCTCAGATTTGTGATAGAACACTAGAATAGTTGTTCTTTAACTAGTGTGCCCCATTGGATATTAGATGATCTACAGGTAAATAGATAACCAGATTGATTTCAAATTCAGAAAGTAACTTTTTTTTTTTTTAATAATAAAATTTTAGGAAAAGGGTTGGGTTCACTCGTGATCCAAGAGCAGAACACCTAAAGCTTGGTCTATTAGGGCCTATCTAATTCTTAGAAAGTAACTTTTAAAGCTTCAATTCTTCATGTGTTGTACTAGTATAATGGCCCCTTTAGCTTGATTACATGGGGATTACGCGCGTAATTCTAGTGCAAAAGACTAACTAAAATGTTTAGTTGGACTTATATGATGCAAAAAGATTACATTTTGTAATGTGGATTGCCCTGAGTAAATGTATTGATGTTACATTATTGGGACATATAAATAATGTTGGGATTTATGATGATGAGGATGTCATGAGAATAGTTTAATATTACTTCTGCTTGTTAATACAAAAACTAGCTTGATATTTAATTAGTTTTAAATACAAGATCTAAATATATTTTGTTTTTAATATTTATTCATCAATTATAATTAAATACTATCACAATAATTAAATAGGTATTTACACGCACAGAAATTTTACTTCCTTTGCACTTCTCATTTCAACCGTTCAATTAAAATTTCAGATTTAATATTTTATAAACATACTAAACAAATTTTTAATTATTAAAATAAACAAATAACTCAAATTGTTAAATTCTAGCAACACCTGTTTAACTTAAAGAAACACAATGAATGATCAAGGCGAATTATTTTTGTAGGGTAAACTATAAACTAAATTATGTATTTAAGATCAGAGGCAATATTAGTTTGACGACCATGAAATACGGAATTACGAATGATGAGGAAATACAACACATGATCCTAAGGAGGAAGATGCAAGTAGTTTAGCATTTTAAAATTGCAGATCAGATCAACGAGACTATTGGATGAGCCCGACTTGAAAATTGTCTTGTAATAATTTGTCATTGGAAATTAGAACACTAGTCTGAGTTTGGAGTTTATATTGAAAATAAAAATACTTCTAGCCCTTTTTGGAAAAAAAAAATAAAAGCGAGTTGGGGCCTCCTTTGAGTTTTCATTTTTTCTGGCACAACCTTGTGCATGATGCACCTTTTTTAAAAAAAACTAAGAGTCTTAATTCCTAAATGTCACGATGTAAAAGAGGTGAAAAGATTCAGAGTCAAATAGCTTGGGACTTTTATGTGAAAATTAGGGGATTAAGTTTGAGAATTCTTTTTTATTACTACCTTTAGTTCTTAATATAAAACTTAATTAACTAATTTGGAGATACTAAAAAAATTACTAAATCACTTTAAAATATTTATATTTATATTTTTTTTTCAAATCAATTTGTCTTATTTATAAATTGATATATAATCTAATGATACACATAAATATCCTACAAAGATCATGTAACGTATGTTATAATTAAATAATTTAGTAATTTTTTTAATTTGTCAATTGAGTTTTATATTAAGAATCAGAGATAATATTCTCTATAGATTAGGAGATTTTACTAGATGATTCATTTTTATACGTGCATATATATACATATATGATCTTCCAAGGAAGGAAAATGAGCCCTTAAAAATCCTATAACAAGTGAAAAATGACCGCAAGTCAATGGCTATTCACTTGCTCTGGCCTTTGGGGTTTTCTTTCTTTCTTTCTTTTTAAGGTTAATATAATCTTGAGTCTCTTAAATTTGCTCCCATTTTAGTTCTAGTTTCTCAAGTTTTCAACGATAGGTTTTGGTTCCTCAAGAGGCAAAATGATTAAAGTTTTTATTGGATTATGGAGACTGATGTTTTAAATGAAAAGAAATTTGAGAGATCAAAACTATAATTTAAAATTTAAGAGTCTAAAACTAAAATGAAAGTAAAAACCAAAATTTATATTAACCCCTCCTCTTTTTTTTTTAATTACACTTTCTGGAGCTTTCCTTCTTTGAGAATTTTACCAAATGGATGTTTGCGTCTCTTCCTCTCTAGAATTCCTGAAATAGTTTTTTTACTTTCTTATTAGAGGTAATCTTATTTAAGATACTGAATGTAAACACTTTTCAAAATTTAAATATTAGTTTATCATGTTCTGAGAGATTAGCTTATTCTATTGGAACCAATCCCCATTATTTATATATTTATATTCATTAAATAGCTGTTTTTTATCAGGAAAAATAGATAGCTGATGGAGAGTTTGTACAGGAATGGCCATGCTTTAAAAATTATGACTTTTTTTTTTACCAAGTATATGTATCATTTTATTAGAGGAATTATAATTTTTAGAGTAAAATACACCAACTACCCTTCTATTTTATCTCAATTATAGAAACCTCTCCTCTATTTTGGAAACGTATATAAATCTCCATTACAATTAAAATATATGATACATAAACCTCCCTCATCTATTTAGTATTCAATTTCTATCCACCCAACCTGTTAGTTGACCGTTAAATTTGACTTTAATTTTTTTTAATCAAAATGCCTCTTTTTAACTTAATAATTATTTAGATATTTATATTTTCCAAAAATATATTTTTTATAAAATCAAAAATAATTCTAATACGTATATTTTTAAAATTTCTAATATGTTATGAAATTTATTAATTTTGATCTAAATCATAAAATTTTCTAATTTTAATATTTTATCACATTCATTAGAAATTATTTATTTTGATGTGTTTTAAATTGTAAAAACATATTTCAAATACATATTTTTTGTTTATCGTAGAGTTTAAATAATATAAGTTTAAAAGATTTTATAAATTATTTAAATTTATAATTCAAAATTTTTAAACACATCTTTGTTACAAAAATTTATAAACATGTTTAGTCAAAGTATATATATATTTATTAAAAAAATTAGTTAAATTTTTAATCAAGTCTCTTATGTTTACCTTAAATAAATAAAATTTTTGTAACTGTAAAAACATAATTTAAGAATTTATTAGAATGAAGGAAAAAATAGTAAGTAAAATTTATTTTAATATAAATTTCAGTTAAAAATAATGTTTTTAGAATCTTTTTAGAATATTTCTAGCAACATTAAATTATTGAATTAAACTGTATATTTTTAAAATAGAAAAGAGATCTGTGTAATTGATGTAAATTAGAAAGGTAGTTAGAGTACGGTATTCTAATTTTTATTGCATCTTCTCCACCGGAGTTTGTTAGCTCGGCCCAATACCAAATCCGGCCCATCATGGGTGGGTCTGGATTACTCCCAGACGCTTCTTTACAATTCTACCCTCACCCTCTGTTTTGATTCTTCTCTGCGTGCCCTCGTTTCCCTCGCTTCCCTAATTCGCCATCCGATCCACCATAGCCTGCCGTCGGTCGAGGCGCACTCGATATATCCACCGTTCGACACTCCTCTCCTTCACCGTTCGACACTCCTCTCCTTCTCCTTCGCAATACAGGTTAGCTTTCTTATCTTTGCATTATTCCCTATCTTCTGTTATCACTGTCTTCTCCTTTTAGATTTTGTACTTCTTTTGGAGTTCCAAGCTCCTTCGATTACCGTATCAGTATTGCTGAGTGTTTGCAGAGTATTCCAAGTTACTGATTCTAAATTGATTTCTTGTTGAAATTCTTCAGAACTGTTTGGAATGTGTCCACCACCACCCATTCCTGCTAATTTCCTTACTTCTTGCACTGTTTTTTTTTTATTCCTTTTCAAAATTCTATTTCGTATTTAATTTCGTTAAAGTATATGGTTAGACAATTGATTTATATAAAAGATTTTAATAAGGATTAAGACTAAACATGTTAGAACATAAATTTTCATGGAAGGCAATGAGGATAGTCATTGAAATCTTACAGCATGATAAATGTTTGAAGTCTGTTGCCTGGAATTATTTATGTCTGACTATCCCGACGGTTATGTATGGACGAGCGTATGTATTAAACCACTGGAATGACATTGGCACACCGATGCCAGTGATTAAGCTGATGATGGGATGTTAGCCTTAGGGCTATCTTATTTTGGGCAATATAAGTACCAGTGATGGTTGTACCCCACATCAGGTATATTCTGCCCGCGTTTTATTTGGGTTTAGGTCTATTGATGATCATATGGAGTAGCCGTTGCTGCTTCCCGCATTCCATAATTGTTTGGAAAAGTCCGGCTAGAAAGTTTGTAAGCTTTGATACATATGATTTTTCAACTTCCTATTACAAGTTCTAGCATTGAAAAAAATTGTTACTGACAAGGATTGGTCTAGTCTGTGGATGAATGTCAATAAGAAAGAAGTTAGGCCTTGCATGCAGATTCATTGTTTGCAATAACGACTTTTTTTTTTTAATGTCAAATCCATCATGTACGATATAATCAGGGAAATTTAAGGTTTTCTAGTTCGATGGTTTGAACTTTGAAGGTAGGCAAGTCACGTGTCTGAACTGAGCGTTGTCTATAACAACATTCACTAACTGTACCAGCTCCTTGATTGATACAAAAGGCAAGGGAAGGGTGTTTAAGTTACTGCTTCAGGCTATGAATCTGATGTATTTTGCTGCCGTTTTATGTTGTGCTTTTTATAATCTTGGGAATCTGTAATTACTAATCATACACTGAGGGTGTTCCAGTCTTTACTGTGATACAGCTATGTCCTAACTTTTCGCTGCATGTCACTTTTGCTAGAAGAATGGCTCTTAGCTCATTCACTTACCATTTGATTCAACTTTGAAGTGTCCTTGCAGGTTTAGTACATACATACGGGACATCATTTAGGAGGTTGTTGAAATCATGGCCAAGCACCATCCTGATTTGATTATGTGCAGGAAGCAGCCAGGGATTGCGATTGGACGACTTTGCGAGAAATGTGATGGCAAGTGTGTGATCTGTGATTCTTACGTGCGTCCTTGTACTCTCGTCCGGGTCTGTGATGAATGCAACTACGGCTCATTTCAAGGTCGTTGTGTCATATGTGGAGGAGTAGGAATTTCGGATGCTTACTACTGCAAAGAGTGTACACAACAGGAGAAAGATAGGGATGGTTGCCCTAAAATTGTGAATTTAGGGAGTGCCAAAACTGACCTGTTTTATGAACGTAAAAAGTATGGTTTTAAGAAACGATGATGACGATGATGACGACGACGACGACGCCGGATTCTTGATAGGCTTGGATCTTATTACTAAGACTGCCTTTTGAGATTGATGTATTTTACTTGGATGTTAGATAGGAAAGGGTATGTCTGCATTCATGTGATGTTGATGCATGATATGAATAACCGTTGTGTATGCATTTAACCTTTTTATAATAACGACTAGCTCTATTATTAAGGTCCATGATCATGGACTGTTATGAGAAAATGTAAAGAAAATGCACCTAGGTCATTGTAAAGAAATCGAGCACGTGGAATTTCCTACTTATTTATACTATATGTACAACTCATTGATATAACCAAAACCTATTCCTAGTAAGATATTAGGAGTAATATAATCTTGGGTGAATGTATGTGCAAATATACTTATGAATTTATATCAAATATGTGTTTGGTATCATAAACAAATCTTGGATACAAATATAGACATAGTGATTTCAAAAAGTTGCAAAATACCATGACCATTAATTATTATATTGTTGACTGTTTGTTTGACTGAAGGTGTTGATGTGAATGCTGACATGACTTAGATAATATGATAAAAAAGAGTATAGGTGTAAATATACTTATGAACTTTTATCAAATGTGTGTTAGACACCATATACAAACCTAAAATGCATAAATACCTACTATTACTCTAAAGAATCCTAAGATGTTATAGTTGTTTAATTCATTAAAGATGACTGTTTAACTCAAACTTTTGACCAAACAAGATAACATAGATATTAAGTTAGTATTTCACTTCTCCTTTTTTAAGTGTAAGCCCCTCCTCCTTGCAAATTAGAGGAGACGTGACAAGAGTAACTAAGGGAGACTAGTGTCGCTCTTTTTAGAGAAAGATATACTTTGATAGAGGAAATGAAGGAGTAAGTTTTGTGGAGAGTTTCAACTTGTTTCTCTTCAATGAAAGTGCAACAGTGGGGAGAAAACATCATTAGGATCGAAGGGAGATTGAAACATGAAAAGAGGAGCAAATTGTATTTGAAGGAGGGAGACTGAAACACTTGCTTAGGGTCTGTGTCATCTTTTTTAGTCAAAAGTTTGAATTAGAAAATCATCTTTGATGAATTAAACAATTGCACTATTTTAGGGTTGTTTTGAAATGATCACAAGTATTTTTGCACTGAAGGTTTGTTTATGGTGTTAGCTAGGCACATATTTGGGGACAAGTTTGTAGGTATATTTATACCTTCACTCTTTTTTATCAAACCCTCTAAGCCACATCAATATCTATGTGAACATCCACATCAGCACCTCCAATCAAACAACGTTACAATAATTAACGGTCATGATATTTTTACAATTTTTTAGAATCATCATGTGTATTTTTACACCCAAAATTTGTTTATGATGCCAAACTCACATTTGGTATAAGTTTATAGGTATATTTGCACATTCACCCTATAAATAATGACAATTTTCATTATTCTTCTGAATGAATATTACTCTATAATTTTTGTGTGTGTGGAATCCCTTCAAATTCTACATTATACATGTTACATGTGTCCTATCTCATAAAATTTAGGGATGATGTTACTTTTAATGTCTAACCTTTTTCTTCATTATCAAATTAGTTTCTAAACTTTGGACTCGACGCAATTAAATTTTTTTTTTATAATTTATGGAGTTAAAGAGTTGAGGATTAGCCTTAGAGCAACAATAAGTTTGCTCGTTAACAGGTGATTTGGAAGTCATGGATTCAAGTCCTAAAAACAGCTTCTCTGCTTGTAAAAAGTGAAATTGTGTACATCTTTCCCTCCTAGATTATATTGGGCCGTACTTTATTGAATTAAATATTTATATATATTATGCTGACTAAAAAAACCCAAAAGAATCAAGTTGTTTCAAACTTAGAATCCAATCGAATTGTTTTAAATCAAAATTTAAGAACCAAATCAATAATTAAAATATCAAATTTTTATTCTGTCATGGTTTTTACTAAATGGGACTTAAAATTGTCAAAGGCAAAAGCTACCATGTCAGCAATAACAACCGAGTACTGACTCACCTAATGCCCTAATCCCCACGCAATGCATCTCTCATAGGAGACTATGATGAGATTTATAAGATACACTCGGTAACTATCTCCAATTTTTGTTTGTGTTAATATTTCATTTTCCCTCTGTTTAATTGCTCACGTTAATACTTTCAGGTATAAAAAAAAAAACTCATGTTAATACTTAATAATACTACCTCTTGTACTTAATATGAGAGTCCGTTAACTAATTTGAACGGATTAAAAAAAATTAGTTAAATTAATTATTTGTAATAAATACTACTTCTGATCTTAATTATAAGAACTAGTTGACTAATTTGAGGAGATTAAGGAAAGAAGTTAAGTTCGTTGTTTGTAATAAATATATATTGTCTTTCTTAAAATATCCTTGCTAATTAAGTGTATTGGCTATAACTACTATTGTTAAGAGAACTATCTTGAAAAAAAAAATATAAATATGAGAGACAAAGTGGATTGAGGTCTTATATTTAGAACCAAAATAAAAGTCAAACAAGGTTTTATATTAAGGACCGGAGGTAATATGTGTTATTTTTTCTAAAATATCTTTGCTAATCATGTATATTAATTAAAACTGTTATTATTACAAGATTACTTAAAAAAATGGATAAATATAAGAGATAAAGTGGATTGTGGTCTTATATTTAGGACCAAAATAAAAATTAAATGAAGTATTATATTAAGAACTAAAGATAGTATCATTTTTCTTATGCTCTCTCCCTGTAAATAATTAAATAAGAGTATTTTTAAAATTAAAGTTATTTGGATTAATATAATTTTTGATCCTTCAAATTTGTCCTTATTTTAGTTTTGGTTCCTCAAGTTTTAAATCATAAGTTTTGGTCCCTCAAGAAATAAAATGATCCAAGTTTTTATTGGATTATAAGGACTATTGTTATAAATAAAAAAAATTTTAAAGACCAAAACTTATAGTTTGAAACATTAGGAAACAAAGCTGAAAGGAATCTTGAAGAAAAAATTTGTATTAACTCCAAATTATTTATATATATCAATATACATTTATTTATGATTATGATTATGATGCTCTCGTAATTAATTGATCACGCTGATTCATCGGTGGACTTGGAAATTAGAAAAGCAGTATGGCAGTGAGAAGTCAATCAAGCGGAAAAAAGCGAGGAGTCGACTTCAGAGAAACGAACAAAATCATGCACGATCGGGTTCAGACTTGAGCTTGACGGCTTTGAATTCTCTCCTGGCAGAATCGACGGTTTTGATTTATTCGACGATTTCCACCTACCGTATTGGTTGTGCAATGTTGACATGAGAAATTGATTCTCCGTCCAAGAAGTTGGTTGGTGATGCACGCCGTCAGCTAGCGAGGTCGCATTATATAATCATTATATATTCTTCATTTTCATCTGTTCTCGTCGATACCCAGATCTGAAGTTGGAGGAAAAGAATCGAAATTCAGGTCAGCTCTTTCAAACCTCTCTTTTTTGGCCTTTACTCTGACTTTGCTTTGAATTGCTGGCGTATGCCATTTTTCTTGCTTTGCTTGATCAGAAATGGCACATCTCTCGATCTTGTCCTTATGATTTTATTGCATCTGATTTTGTTTCTGGAAAATAAACCCATTATTGCTTCATCTTGGTTATGTCTATTCATTGCTCATCATACTTCCACTTATAATGATTTGCTGGGTATTTTCTCTGTGATTGAGATTTTGACAACAAAATACAAAATCTGGCAGTTGACTGTTCCTGGTGAAATGAAGTTGCTAATTTGATTGCAATTCATTAGGTGTATTTGGAGAACTTGCTATCACCCTAAGAAACTGTACCTGATATTTATTCAATTTTTGCGGACTTTGAAACTGTAACCCTTTGATAGTTTGGACTGATAATAATCCTTAGGGGATTGCCGTATAGGAGCTCATATTTTGCTTGTTGCTGCAACCTTGATCAAATTTAGCAGGTATTGAGGGAAAGGCATATTGCTGCTTGTATAGTGTGCTCTTAACGCCTCTTTGGGAATCTCATTCCTTTCCAAATTTTTGTTTGAGAGAGAATTAAAGTATGCGCACCACATTTCAAGAATTGATTTTTGGGGTGAATTTTCACAATCGAATCAGTTATATAATATTTGTTCTTGAGATATGTCAGTGTAGTTTTTAGGAGTAATGATCGTAGTGGGTAGTTGGCTTCAATAATTCCCACCAAAAAAGGGTGGCATCAATAGCCATCTTCGTTTCTGACCAAAAACAAAATCAGCTTCATTTGTCGTAGTCAACAGAACTTATTTTTCCTTAGATAGTTCGGGCAAGTTTCCATTATAATTTTCTCCGTAAATTTATACTTTTTGTGTTTTATCCTCCTCATGTGCGTTAGCAAATATTGAACAGGAAGGAAATCAATTATGGCTCAACCCACAAATCTCACTAGGATAGGCCTTGCTGGACTGGCTGTAATGGGACAAAATCTTGCCCTCAATATTGCTGAGAAAGGATTCCCCATTTCTGTGTATAACCGAAGCACATCCAAGGTTGATGAGACCGTTGAACGTGCCAAACAGGAAGGAGAACTTCCTCTTTATGGTTTTCATGACCCTGAGTCTTTTGTCCTTTCCATTCAAAAACCTAGGGTCATAATAATTCTAGTGAAGGCTGGAGCACCTGTTGACCAGACTATCAAGACTCTATCTGCGTACATGGAGAAAGGTGATTGTATAATTGATGGTGGTAACGAGTGGTATGAGAATACCGAGAGGCGTGAGAAAGAAATGGCAGAATTGGGTCTTCTCTATCTTGGGATGGGAGTTTCCGGTGGTGAGGAGGGTGCTCGACATGGCCCCTCATTGATGCCTGGTGGTTCATTTGAGGCTTACAAGTACATAGAAGATATTCTTCTTAAGGTGGCAGCACAAGTCGCTGACAGTGGTCCCTGTGTGACATACGTTGGTAAGGGTGGATCTGGTAACTTTGTGAAGATGGTTCATAATGGAATTGAATATGGCGACATGCAGCTGATTGCAGAAGCTTATGATGTACTAAAGACGGTTGGGAAGTTGTCAAACGAGGAACTACAGAGCGTCTTCTGGGAATGGAACAAGGGAGAACTTCTTAGTTTCCTGATTGAAATCACTGCAGATATATTTGGAATTAAGGATGATAAAGGAGATGGCTATCTGGTTGACAAGGTTTTGGACAAAACTGGCATGAAGGGTACCGGTAAGTGGACTGTCCAGCAAGCTGCTGAATTATCAGTTGCTGCTCCTACTATTGAATCTTCTTTGGATGCTAGGTTCCTTAGTGGGTTAAAGGAAGAAAGAGTTGAAGCTGCAAAGGTCTTCAGATCTGGTGGCTTTGGAGATATCTTGGCTGATCAGCCTGTGGACAAGAAGAAGTTGATTGACGATGTTAGGCAAGCTCTTTATGCGGCCAAAATCTGCAGTTATGCACAGGGAATGAATCTGATCCGTGCAAAGAGTATCGAAAAGGGATGGGATTTGAGGTTGGGAGAATTGGCTAGGATTTGGAAAGGGGGTTGCATCATAAGAGCGATTTTCTTGGACAGAATCAAGAAAGCTTATGACAGGAATCCTAATCTTGCAAACCTTTTAGTGGATCCTGAGTTCGCGAAAGAAATGGTTGATCGGCAAGCTGCCTGGAGAAGAGTTGTATGCCTTGCCATCAACTCTGGGATTAGCACCCCTGGTATGTCTGCTAGTCTTGCTTATTTCGACTCGTACAGAAGGGAAAGATTGCCAGCTAACTTAGTGCAAGCTCAACGAGACTACTTTGGTGCTCATACATATGAAAGGATTGATATGGAGGGGTCTTTCCACACTGAGTGGTTCAAGCTTGCCAAACAGTCGAGGACCTAAGTTACCTACATTTATACACACATTCAAACTCTAAATAAATGTAACATGTTCTGCTCAAGAATATATTTTGAGCGGAGCTTACATAACTGCAGTGTGGTGAAATTTTATTACATTTTGGTTTTGTAGTTCCAATTCGTTTAATTATATCTCTTCTCTGCCGATATGCTGAATGTTTATGCTTATATCAATAATCCCTGTTTATGTTGCCTTTCTTTATTTAAGAACATGAAGTCTCAGGAGTTATATTTTCAGTTTTTCACTATGTTCAGTGCTTTGCCATTTTCTTTTTTCTTCTCTGTGGGCGTTGAGTTTCAGTGCTGTGTCAATACTGTCATGTAAGAACATGGAGGAGAGGAAATTCAACAGTAACTATGTGCCATGAGCAATAACACAAGGGTCAAGGTCATTTGATACGGAATTACCAGGAGAACTGCACAGTTTGCCAGATGATTTTAACTTGGCATTCTGACGGTCCTAATGGATTTTATTATGAAGTCCTAATACTATTAGTATCTGTGTGGTATCCTTCTCTGTTCCCATGTCCAAGCTTATTTAAATAATCAGACCCTTGTGTATTTAGTAAAACCCTGGAATTCGGCCACGTACTAATTCATGAGACCAGAAAAAGCAGTCGTGTGCGTGTGCGTGTTTTTTTTCCCATTAAGTACAATTATCCTCCCATTGGAGGCTTGTTCAAAGTACGATTGTATATTAAATGTGAACACTTTTCTTAATAAAAATTCAAGTTTTGGTTTGTCATGTTGTGAGGATCTAGTTTTTTTTGTTTAGCCCGGCCCTTGTTTGCAAGCCCAAGAAAAAGCAATTGTATGTTTTTACCTGTGGAGAGGAATTAGACAGAAATTGGGACATACATGACAATCTATGTGATCTTTTGTTGTCATCTGAAGAATCATGTCCTTTTTTGTCCCCCCACCCCCTAGTATTTTTCATTTTCCCTTTATATAAAATCAAATGAGGACAAAAGAGAAACTTTATAATAATATTATATTCTTATGATTCCTATCAAGCCGTGTATACTTTCATGTATTTTAAGTTAATCATACAGCCTGAAACTACCAAATGCCTTGCTGTTTCATTTTGTATCCATTGTTGGGAAAGTTAGCTCAGAGAAAGAAAATAAAAAGGCCAAAAAAAAAAAACAGAGAGAGAGAGAGAGAGAGAGCTTTTTGGTGGTTCTAGTTGTCATTTGTGTAGCTATGTGAGACGTTGCTCTCTTTCCAGCGCAACACTCACCAAATGGGTTGCTTCACAGCTGAATGTGCAGCAACAGAAACACATGCCCATGAATCATCATTATTTGGAAGTTTTGGGGATAGAAAACCACTTTCTGTGCCTTCCGCAATTATCTTCAAATATCTTTTGTCACATTCTCATTCCCTTTTCCTTTCTGGCTACCAGCTCAATCCAAACCGAAAGCCACAATCATTTAGCCAAGCCTGTGTTTATCTGAATATTTTAGCAGTAAATATACTTCTGTATTTAGATTTTATTCTTAGTTATTCCTTTTTCAGATCCCCCATTTTTACCCAATTTTGCAGAAGCCTTACCACGTTGACCTGTCCTTTTAACTTTTGATGAGTTTTTCAATGACGTCACACGGACCTTCTGTTTTCGAGTAAATTTCATTTATTCCAAAGATATCTTAATATCTATTGGTTCCTACAATTTTTCCAAAACTAATGCTCCTTTATATATATATGTTGTTTTTTTGTAAATACCCTCTTAACTATTTATAATAGAAATTAACTATTTGATAGAAACCCTATTAACGTATGCCATTAATAATGATAGTTTGGAAGAAAATTATAAATTTGGGAAAGAAAATGGACGAAGGTGTTGAACCAGAAAGAGTAAAATGATTAGTTAAATCCTCTAAAACAAACAAGACCAAAGGTTGGAATTGTCAAGTGATCCAAAAATTTCAGAGAAAGGTCAATTGTTAACTGAAGTGGGATTATATTCTTTTCCTTTTTCTTTCAACATGATACATAAAGAAAGAGAGAGAGAATCTGAGAGGTTAAAAATCAAAGGCTATATGAAACCATCTTCTCCAGAAGAATACTACTCCATTTCCAGAACCTTGAAAAGACTTTTGCTGAGTGTTTCCCATGTATCTTTGCTCATATACATTCGCTACTAAACAATAATCAGCATCTGAAACTAATAAAACTCCAGAGACATGAATTATGTTTGAAAAATGTTTCTAACTAGAAATGAACAAAATCCAAAGATGAAGATGAAGATGGTGGTGGTGGTGATGGTGCATGTTACAAAACTGGCAACATCATCATCATACAGAAATTAAACTGTTTTTCTGCATTGTTACTTACTGCTACGTTTCTTGTCATGTTTATTTGCAATCTTGGAGAATGATGAACAAAGCTTTTCTGCAAATCCATGATGCTTCTTGTCTTTCTTATTAGATGATGCAGAGGCATTATTGCTGTGATGATGATGGGTTGGACCAGAAGAAGCATCAGAAGCCATGGAATCATCACTGTCTTCTTCATCTTTCTTCTTCTTTCCTCTTCTTCTGTTGTTGTTTTCACCATAGAAGCCATCTTCATTAGCTTCGTTCTCCATGTTGCTGCAATCATCTTCTTCCATGGGAGATGCTATGTACATAGTCCAGCCTGATTCACTGCTGCTACATCCTTCTGCTCCCATGCTTTGCCTCGAAGACTCCATTTTTAGAGAGAGGGGAGAGAGAGATGAATGAGTTACATGTTAGACATTAATGGATAGATAGATATATGAATGCCAGAGGCAGTCTCTGATAGATATATTGAACAGCAAAGTGTTGGTGAGAGGCCTAAAGGCCTAGCAGGCGGCTTGCCCTTTTTTCTTATTAAATTAAATTCATAGAACAACCAGGAAGTTTCCAAATATCTTTTAAACTGCTTTGACGATTTCATAAAAAATTGATTTAGTCTATTATTTTAAAAAAATTAACATGAAAATTTATGTCCAGAGAAAAAATAAAAAATTAACATGCTGTATTCACTTATAAATAAAATTTACTTCTGGTTGAATGGAAATAAATTGATATCTCTTAAGCATAAGTCTTTATCTTATAGATCATGCTAAAAGAATTGTCTCCTCTTTTAAGTTGGCAATGTTCGGAATAATGCAAAATTACTTTCTCAAGTCCTAAATCTAGGAGTTCGATAATTGATTTACAAAAATTTAAAATACAATTAACTTAGTTATTTGTAAAAAAAAAAAAAAATAGGGACCTGGTGCTTAAATATCTCAAAAGTATTCATAAAAGAGCACTCAGTACTTGAAAGTTTTTTTTCTTTTGTTTTTATATGCCCTGGAAGTTTATTTTCATAGCAAAAACATCATCACCGTTATCAACTATTAAGTTTGACCATTAAAAAATACAGTTTGACCAATATCTTTAATGGTCAAATTTAACAATGGATAATGATTCAAAATAGAAATGCTACGAAATAAAACTTTCAAAACATACAAGAGCAAAAAAAAATTTCAGGTGATGGTTTTTTTTCGTGTATATTTTCAGAGTATTTAAACACTTTATTCTAACAAAAATGTGTTTTCATTTTACTAAAATGCTCCATTCAATCATTTGCACGGGAAACTGCTTTTAATGTTACAAAATGTATAAATCGAGAGACAAAATATATTGATATCAAATATTAAAAATCAAAACAAATACCTCAAGTAGCTTATATATATAGTAGCATGCACCCAGCTAGCTTGCGGTTAAATTTAATTCTATATGCACACACACCTTCTAGTCTCTTATACTTATGTGCTTTCCCACACTATCCTATTAATTGCCCACATTAAAGAAGGGTTGCCATCAAAACTAATTCCAATGCAAATGATTACAAAATATATTTTAGGATAACCAATACATATTTTTTACAACTAACCAATTCAACTAAATTTGTTTATCTTTACGGATTAGCTGATTTAAGGAATGAGATTGGGTATAAGGGATCTAAAATAATAGTTAATTATAGATACATGTGTGAGTAAAAGAATGAAGACACATTATTGATAGACGAGGTTTAAAGATTTACTTAAAATATGGTGTAAAATAAATAATAATAATTTGAAATGAAATATTTGATTAGATCCGGTATATTAGTATTGATATGATCGTACCAAACAACGTGAAATATTTAAAGAAAAGAAATAATATGAAATGGAAGGTCATTGTCTCATGAAATGGAAATCTGACTTTTAGTGAAGAATACAGATTTGCTGTGCAATGGCACAACTGGAAAGAACGCACAAGCCATGCCTTAGAGGCTCTCATGGGAAGCAGTGCCTTTGTTTAAACCTTCTTTTTTCTTTGGGTCAAAAAGTTAATTTTCACTTTAGTTAAGATTGATTAATTTATTTCATAGGCCCCCTTTGTGTCATTCCATAAATATTCTTTTTGACTTTGTCTGTGCCCCAAACAGTGCTACTGTATTTTGCATCCACAAACTTACTGTGATATGCTTATGAAATTCCAAGGGAAAAAAATATTTTGATGTTGATATGTTTATGTTTTCCACGTTTAGGAATTGGATTATCATTTTTCAAAAAAAAAAATTACAGCTATTTGATATTTAATACTACCTTTTGTTCTTAATATAAAAACTCGTTTGACTTTTATTTTAATTCTAAATATAAGATTACAATCCATTTTATCTCTCATATTTATTCTTTTTTTAAGGTAGTCACTGTAATAATGATAGTTATAACCAATACATTGATTATAAAAAATGTTTTAGAAAAAACGACACATATTTATTACGAATAACTAACTTAACTGATTTTTTTTAATTTATTCAAATTAGTCAATTAGTTGTCATTTGTCAATATTAAGAATCGGAGGTTGTATTGTTGGTTGTTATGATTTTTTTTTTTGGGAAATCAACTTCAAAAGTACTTCTGTTCTCATGTGAGATGTTTCCAAAAAAATCGCAGAAAAAGTTGTGTGCATGTAGAGACAAAACTCACATAAGTAATCTCTACGTTATGGAATGATTAGTCTCTGGTTATCGGTTGAAGGATACCGCTTGATTTTTACCAAAAAAATTTATTGTACAAAAATACCTAAAATTGGTTTAAGGACCAGGTGCTATCACTTGTACTTAATTATATGCAAAAAATGTATATTTACATATAGTTAAAAATATGTCGTACCACATTGCGCCAATTCAGATACTTGGATGCTTATTAGGAACCTTTAGGCAATAAATTTGATCATTAAAATTTTTCTGAAAATTTCCCAAATTTGTTGGGCCTATTTTGCTTTGATCTCTCCCCTCTCTTCTTTCTCATTTTTGATTCATATGGTGTGAGTATCATTTTATATAATTTTTACTTTTAAGAGTATTCTTTTATATATATATTAAAAATCTTAAGCTAATTTTTCCAGCATTTTCATACATATGCCAAGCAAACGTTGTAATAGTGTTCGATTGATTTTTATTTAATTTTCAAACATCATTTTGTGTTCCAAAATTCTATTTCATCAAGATAAATTATTTTTTCCCTTTCCAATTTTATTTTTCTTAATTTCAACATACCATTCAGTAAAATATTCTTCTTTCCAATTATTCCATTTATCTTTCTCTAAATATTCATAATTTGGATATCTAAATATTTCTCATTTTTCCTTTTCTTTGTGGCCTCTAGGGTAGAAGGAAATTAATAGAAAGTTATTAATTAAATATAAAATGTCAAATTTATAATAAAATATATTACTCATTATATTTATAAGTTGTATGTGAATAATATATGATTAATTTTTAAAATATCGTATGATGCACCAAATCTACATCTAACTAATTTGATTTATTAAAAGGATATATACCATTTTAGCTTATCTAACCTTTTATGTAAGTACTTTATTTGACACATTATTGATTTATTAACATTGTCCGTCAAATAAAATATTTTGAAGACATTTTCTTTTGAGTATTATGCTTATGAGCTTTTTTTTTTATATATATAGATTTTAGATTGAATTTATATGATGTAAGATATTGGATTTATTTTAACGCACTTTTAATTTATTTATCTTTCTTATTGCAAATTTATTTTTGGAATATATTTTAAAGGATGGATTCTTTTTTTTTGCTTTAAATATTGCCATCGCCAACTGGGCTTGGCAACTTTGGTGGGTTCTCATGCAATTAGGTACTGGTTAGGAGGCAACCTAATCCAATTAGTTCACCTAAATAATAAATTATAAACTAATTGCAACTTTGACTTACTTTTTTTGGGTGCTAAAATAGAAAAGTTATATTTTTTTTTTATTTAAAAAATAGGAGTTCAATTATCCAATATTCTCCGCCAATTTAAGTTCACTTTAAAATCTCAGACACACACACACAAAATAAAGTTACAGACACGGTAAAATTAATATTTTTTTACACAGAATTTTTTTTTTTATATTGTGTGTACCATGAATAATGGAACTGTAGAATGCTGAAGAGATATCATGAATGATAGGAAAAATTAACATACAAATATTTATAGTATCACGTTAATTTTAATAGGATCTTGAGTCCTTTGTAGTCTTTTAAATTATAGATATTAATTCCTATACTTATATAAATTACCACCTTCGGTTCTTAATATAAGACCTTGTTTGAATTTTATTTTGATCCTAAATATAAGACCCCAATCCATTTTGTCTTTAACATTTATGTATTTTTTTCTAAGATAATCCTTCTAACAATAGTAGTTCTAGCTAATATACTTGATTAGTAAGGATATTTTAGAAAAGGCAACACCTATTTATGATGAATAACTAACTTAACTTTTTTTTTTTAATCTGTTCAAATTAGTCAACTAACTATTATAATTAGGATCGGAGTTACTATTATTTTGTAAGAGAAATCTCAATAGATGACGCGATGGTTATCACTTAACATGCATGCGAATCTAAGGTCCGGTTTGGTTCAAGGAAAATCCTGCAATGAAAATCACTCGTGTGCGTGTGTGTATTCATTCACATATAATGAAAAAGTGTAAAGTCCGTTTGTCACTTTTAGTATTCTAAAACGTCTCTGAAAAAATGTAACACGCACTACAAAAAAATATGTCAATTGTAGCGGTTAGAGTGACACATTTTTAGCGGTTTTAACCGCTACAGATACCTTTTGTAGCGGTTAACAAAACCGCTAGAAAACCAGACGCAAGAAAAAATTTCTAGCGGTTATGGAAACCGCTACACATCTTGGTCAAAACGCTAGAAAATTTCTAGCGGTTCCTAACCGCTAGAAAATGTCTAAAGCAAGTACATTTCTAGCAGTTACAAAACCGCTAGAAAATGTCAACGGAATAAAATTTATAGCGGTTTTATAACCGCTAGAAAAATGCTAAACCAAATCTATTTTGCCGGGAATTAAATAATTTCAGTAGCGCCCTGAAATTTCTAGCGGTTAAAGAACCGCTAGAAATGTTTGGGAAATTAAATTTTCCCGCCAATAAAATTTTTGGAATGGCGGCAAAAAAATTTCTAGCGGTTTGAACCGCTAGAAAGTTTGGCGCAAAATTTAAATTTGACGAAATATTTCTAGCGGTTTGGAACCGCTAGAAATGTTTACCGTGCCAGAAAAAAAAATTATGGTTTTTCATATTATAATTTTAAAAACCATTAAATAAATTATGTTGAAGAATTTTTGTTAATTTGTATAATTAGTTATATGTTACATTTTATATATTTAAATTTTGTAATAAACAATATGTAATT